TTCATTTCTTAATTTTAAACCATGTAGCTCTGTTCACACAATAATCTCTTGGTCTAGGTATAGGTTTTTCATGATCATAAGTAAGTGTTCTGAGATTTTCATTCCTTTCAATATTAACCATAATCTGTTATGATCCACAGAGTCAATGGCTTTACAAAGTCATAGAAATAGATCTTTTTCTGGTATTCTCTGCTTTCAATGAGGATTCATCTAGCATCAGCAATGATATCTCTGGTGCCACAAACTCTTCTATATCCAGCTTCAACTTCTGGCAGTTCTCTGTTTATATTCTGTTCTAGTTGTTGTGAATGATTTTCAGCAACATTCTGCTTGCACTGGATATTAATGATATTGTTTTATAATTTCTACATTCTGTTAGATCACCTACCTTGGGAATGGAAATAAAAATGGATTTCTTTCAGGCAGATGGCAAGGCCAGCTATGCTCTAAATTCCCTAGTATAGGCTGGTGGGCACATTCAGAGTTGTATCTATTAGTTGAAACATGTCAACTGGTATCACATCGATTCCTGGAGTTTACTTTTACCAAGGCCTTCATTGCAGCTTGAACATCTTCCTTAATTATCATCGCTTCTTGATCATGTACTACTTCCTGAAACAATTCCGTGTCAGCCAGTTCTTTTTTTTAGTGTGTTCCCTCCATTTTCTTTTCATGCTAACTGGATCAGTCAACATTTTGCCCACAGCATCTCCCATATTCTCCAAATCTAATGGCATGGGCTTCTGAACATGAAGCGTCTGTGGAAAGTTTTGAAATGGTTAATTTCAAAGAGGAGGGCTTTGGTTTTGAGATCAATGAGAGACATAAAGAAGAATTATTTTCATAGCTCCATAAAAATTACTTATGACTACTGCATCTGCTAAAAATTCAATATTGGGGTCTTTAAATTCTCCAAACAGGTTTCTTCAAGCCATGGTGAAAACCCACACTAGCCTTTCACCTGTTACGTGAGAGGACCAATGGAACTCTTTCTGGCAGCCCTATATCCAAACCTGGCCCAGGAAGTATGACATTTCTCACTATTTTGAAAAAGACAAAGTTGGTTATTTTCAGTCAACGTAAGCTATACATGACTTCTTCAGCCAGTACAAAAACACAGCACAGCAGTGTAACTATTTCTATAAGGTGTTCTACACTTTCCATTCTCACAAAGGCATAAAAGAAACACAAAAAGGCTGCATTTTATCCTGCTTCTCCATAGACTGCTTTTGAACGCAGTACTGAGACTTAAGAGACGTAATGTTTTGGTGGCCTAATCCATAGGAATGGTGAAGAGCTGTTAGAAATACAACACTCATCTGTCAGTGTGTTTTTTGGGGGGAATGATTTGCATATTGCTCATTACTTTACTGCTTAGGTGCGTATAAGCTTGCTTATTTATTATTTGCTCATATTAATGCATGGTAGCATTCTGCAAGACAGTGAGTCACTGGAAATACTTTTTTCCACAACATAAATAACAAGTATACATAAGAACCTCACCAGATAGAATACAAAGGAATTAAATGAACAACATCTGTGTAAAGAGGTGGTAAAGAAGTTCACTATCATCAGTTAGAGTAAGACTCAGGTGTGTAGTAGAAAAGGTCATCAGCTGCTCATATACAACTTCAAGTTGAAACGAGGCAGGGGGAACAAAATGAAAAGAAGTCCAAAAGAGGAAAAGCATGATCTTAAATGTGTTCTGCCTGAATATAGATTTGATGCACTGAACACTAACAACCGAAGCCCAGAAGTGGTATGGGATAACATCAAGGATATCACATATGAGGAAAGTAAAAAGGTTATTAAAAAGGTAGGCAAGAAATAGGAGGAAAAGGATGTCAAGGAATATCAGAAAATACTTGAAACTTGTTCTTAAATGTAAGAGATGATGAAGAAAAAGCTGAACAATCAATATTTCAGAGTATTCAAGAAGATAAAGAATCATAATGACATACGCAAAGATCTAGCGTTAGAAGATCACAAAGCATGGATTGCTTGATAGTCTCACGTGGAAAGAACTAAACAAATCCACACCTAGAAGCTTGAATGATTCTATGGGCAAGATTTTGAATGCTACAGGAAATATTAAGAGAAGGTGAAAGGAATACACAGAATCACTGTACCAAAAAGAGTTGGTTGATAGTCAATCATTTCAGGAGATAGCATATGATTAAGAATTGATGTACTGAAAGAAGTCCAAGCTGCACTGAAGGTACTGGTGAAATCCTCGTGTACAGAAACCGACAATACCAACTGAGATGTTCCAACAAGTGGCTATATCAGAAGCACACATGTCTAAGCCAAGATTTCTGGAAGACAGCAGACTGGCTAAATGACTAAAAGAGATCTAATTATACATCCGTCCTAAATAAAAATGATCCAATGAGATATAGAAATGATTGGTCAATATAATGAATATCATTGTTGTTGCTGAGTATCATCGAGTCAGAACCGACCCATAGCTGACCCTCCAGTTGGTTTTCAGAGACAGTTAATCACATGGGAGCAGCTGGCAGATTCGAGCCACATGCATTTGGGATTACAGTGCAGGTTCTTACAAGAACCTGAAAGAAGCAAAAAGGTGCACTGCAATCCCAAAGGCCCATGGTTCAAGGCCACCAGCTGCTCTGTGGGAGAAGGGTGGCCTCTGCCTCTAAAAATGTACAGGGGGGTCAGCTATGGGTTGGTTCTGACTCTACAGTACACTACAACAACAACACTAATATCACAAGTTAATATTTTATTGAAGTCAGTTAAAAATGGTTGCGGCGAGCTCTGGTGGCCTAGTGGAAAGAAGCTGTATTGCAATCCCAGAGGTGCATGGTTTGAATCCACCAGATGCTCTGCTGCAGAAGGAGGGACTATCTCCTCCTGTACCAGTCAGATTTGATTTGATGGTACACACAGAAAAGATAATAAAATTTAAAAAAATTTTAAAAAAATGGTTGCAGCAGTACATTTAGACAGGTAACTACCATAAATTCAAGCCATGTTTACAAGATTCCATGGAATAAGAGATTATCATTGCTGATATCAGATAGGTCTTGGCTGAAAGTAGAGAAAAGCAAAAAGATGTTTTGTATGCATTATTGATTATGCAAAGGCATTTGACTGGGAGGAGCAGAACAAATTATGGATAACATTGCAAAAAGCATGAACTACAGAACACTAATTGCACGTATAAGAACTGTGTATTATAGCCTTAAGCATGGAATATACATGCACATAAAGAAAATAAAACCTCACAAGTGGATCCGTAAGTGTTTCCTTTTACTTGGACTCTCAATGAATGCCCATGGAAGTATTAGTCAAGAACTCGAACGAAGGTGTGCAGTTGCTTTTTTCTTGCTCACAGTGCTTGGCTGTTCAGATGCCTGGAGTCAACCAACTTCTCTTTTTAAAAAATCAAGCACACCAGGCAATTAGATACAAGAATGGCTTCCTTTGGATGGAGAGGAGGATTGGTGAGAAGGTCTCCATCACTGCCCAGCAGTTTGAAGCTAAAGCTGCTGATGAGAAGGATGCAGTTGAAAATGATGAAGGGAACTGGGCTCATGCCATTAAATAGAAGAAAGAAATTCTCTTTGAAGTTTGTGCTGAGAAGAGCAAGCAGCTTAAGGATGAAGGAGCCAGTCAGGCTGAAAAGAAAAGGTATCAGGAAGCACTACAGAAGTGGGATGAAGCACTTAGTTAACACTTGTATGAGATGAAATCACAGGTTCCTAGGTCTCTTCATGAAATGTTCCCAGCAGTGCTTACAGCACAAATGGCTGTCTAGGGAAATCCACATTCATGGGAATCGTGGCAGACTTTGGGCCATGCTCAACTTGGATTAGGAGAGATAGTCTTGGCAATTCGGAGTTTCCAAGTAGCCAAGTTTGTCTTGGAGGGGGTCAGAATGCTTCTTAGAAGCAAAGACAGGGAGACTTTAACTCACATACTTCAGGCATGTTCTTAGGAGGAGGGACCAGTTCTGGAGAAGGACATCATGCTTAGTAAAGCAGGGGGATGTTCCTCAATGAGATTGACTAAAATGTCTACAACAATGAGCTCATATACAACAATGAATGTGAGGATAGGACCTAACTATGTAGTTTCTTTCACTTGTTCATGGGTTACTATGTGAGCTGGAAATTACTTAATAGTTCTTAACATAACACTCATATTTACAGTTACAGTCTCTGTGATCTAGGCTTTAAATATTAATGTTGACTACTTTATGATCTAAATATCTGTACGAGAATAACTGCTGCACTTTAATCATAAAGAGGTCAAAGTAGCTGGGGTTTTTTTTTAAAACCAATGGAAATTTAATCATTGTAGCTAACAGGAAATTAGCTCTGTGCGTGTTACGTGTTTGGTCACGTGCGATTTTTTAAAATGTCTTTAATTAATGATTGTTGTTGTTGTTACGTGTCGTCGAGTCACTTGCGACTCATAGCAACCCTATGTACAAGAGCCCTACTCCCTGCTCTATCCTATGCCAACCTTACTGTCTTCGACACACCAACTCCCACTACCCCAACACTGACTCGATCAATCTCATTGAGGGTCTTCCTCTCCTGAACTGTCCCTCCACTCTCCCAACCTCTCTAAGGACTGGTCCCTCCTTGCAACATGTCCAAAGTATGTCAGATGAAGCTTCAGAATCCTTGCCTCCCAGGAGCAGCCCACCTTCATCCTCTCCATAACAAACCTGTTTGTTCTCCTAGCAGCCCATGGTTTATTCAACACTCTTCTGAAGCACCACAGCTCAAAGGCATCAATTCTCTATCATCCCTAGTCACTGTCCAACTCTCTGATGCATAGCATGCAATTGCAAAGACTATAGCCTGGATCAGGCACACCTTAGTCTCCAGTCTGATGTTGTTGCTCTTCAGTACTCTGGAGAGGTCCCTGACAGCTGACTAAATATAAATTAAAACACTTAAGCCTTACTTCTTTTGTCAAGATTTGTATATATATGACAGGATTTCTAAACTGTATTTCTTTACCTTTTTCCAAAAATATATGGCTATCACTTCCATCACTCTCTAATAGTTGTTCTTCCAAAATCATGCTGTCAAGTGAAATGGTATCCAGCGAGATTTGTGAGGGACTTCTTCTCATGTTCTTGTAGGAAACCGAGAGTGGAGTCACACTGGGTGGACAACGTTCCTTGGGCTTTCCACTGTTAAGAAACAAAACTGTTAGAAAACTACTACATGTAAAAAATTCTATTTTAAGAAACCATAACTGCCACTCAAGCAGATATATGCAAACCCATGTTTATTGTGGCTTTGTTCACAACAGCAAAGAGCTGGAAAGAACTCAAGTGCCCATCAACAAACAAATGGATAGAGAAACTCTGGTATATTCACACAGTGGAGTACTATGCAGCATTGAAAAACAAGGAACTAATGAAATATTATGCAAAATGGATGACTCTGGAGGATAATATGCTGAGTGAAATATCTCAGTCACAAAAGGACAAATACTGCATAGGGCCACTACTGTAAAATGGGACTGACATCAGGGTTGAGGGAAAACAAAAAAGGAGGGAATGATATATATTGCATTGAAACAGATGAGGGAGACAACTGTTTAAAAGGGCTATGTGAATGGGCATTCTTGCTATTACAGAAGTCCAGAGTGAAGGCTGCATAGTGGAGTGAACTTCAGGGGAGGGACTGCATAACAAGGAAAGAGTTTTTCATTTTCTTTTCGAGGAGAAGAGTGAATTGAGGGAGGAAGGGAGAAGCAGGGAGAAAAGTGCAACAATGAATGACTGGAAACCCTAAGTCTCTGTAAACTTACATTAATATTAATAAATTTTCAAAAAATTATGTTTTAAAAATTCTAAGGAAATGAAAATATGCATATACCATCTCTAAGTTTTATATACATGCATATTTTATTTTATAGATATACATATTTTATTGTAAATATAAGGTTAAAATAAATTTTAACATTATATTTAAAAATGGGCTCATGAAACAAAGACAAAAAGACAAATAACCCAATTAAAAAGGATTTGAATAGACATTTCTCCAAAGAAAATATACAAACAATGAATGAATAAATGGTCAAGATCGTTTATTAGATAAATGCAAATCAAAGCCACAATGACATACCATGTTATATCCAACTGTTGGTACTGTTATATGCCACTGAGTTGACGCCAACTCAAGGTTGACACTCCAGTGGGATTTCAGAGCCAGAAAATAACTCATCTTTCTCTCATGGAGCAGCAGATGGGTTTGAACCTCATGTCCTTGGGATGGCAACACTGTTCCTTATCTCTAGACTACTAGAACTCAGTTATATCAAATAGGATGGCTACTGTCCGAAAAAAGATAGCCAACTAACAAGTGTTGGCAAGACTGCAGAAGGTAAATCTCTGATGCTTTCATGGTAGGTATGTAAAGCCCCAATATACACACTGGAAGACAGAGGGGCAATTCCTCAAAAAGCTAAACAGAGAAGTACCAAAATGCCAGAAATTCCACACCAAGGTTTATATTCAAAACTATCAACTTAATTAATATAATTACTGAGCTCAAGTGGCCTCGTTCTTTGAATCCACCAACTAACTGCTCATTGGGAGAAAAATAAGCAATCTCTTTGTGTGATTTACTGCCTCTGAAAACCCACTGGAGTGACAGGTTGGTTCCAAATTGGTTGGTTCCATGTAACAATTATATGATTACTGTATTATTAATAGTCTAAGGTAAGGATTCTAGAAACTTACATACTCATAATCACTGCAATATTAATCATAAAAGCTGAAAGACAGAAACAAGCCAAGTTGTTGTGATGTGCTGTCAAGTCGCTTGTGCCTCATAGTGACCCAATGTACAACAGCCCTAAACTCTGCTCTATCCTGTGCCAATCACAGTGTCTCTGACACACCCATCCTGATTACCCCAGTCACTGAATCAATCCACCTCATAGAGGGCCTTCCCCTCCTGCGCTGTCCCTCCACCCTCCCAAGCATGATGTCCCTCTCCAAGGACCAGCCCCTCCTTACAACATGTCCAAAGTATGTTATGCGAAGCCTCAGAATCCTTGCCTCCAGGGAGCCACCTGGTTTAACCGTTTCCAGGATGAATAGATAAAAAATAATAAAAAATATGGTATATTCACATAATGGAACATTCTCCATTTTTTATGGGAAAAAAGAAATTCTGCTATATGCTATGTCATGGATGACCCTTAAAAACATGGTGAATGAAATAATCTAGATCCAAAGGAGCAAGTATTATTGCATGATCATAACCTTATGGCAAATGGCTTGGATCTTCCACCTGCTTTGCTGGGGGAAAGACAGGCAATTTCCCGCTGTGTGATTTAAAACCTCTGAAAGCTCCCTGGAGGGTCATCTAAGATTCGGTTCCAACTGCAAAGAACACTAGAGGCTTGGTTCTGATTTGATAAAACACAACTATTACTACTTATAGAGAATATCTAGAAAAGACAAAGCATATAGACCAAAGTATTAGTGGTTGAGAGATATACAGGGAAAGGAGGAAAAAGAAATTATTGCTAAATGGGTACTGAGTTTCTGTTTAGGGTAAAATAAAACTTTTGGAAACAAAAAGTACTGAATTATATACTTAAAAAGTTAAAATGGGAAAACTTTTTTTAATCTTACCACAACAAAAGTAATGTAAAAAAACTACAAAGTGTTTCATATCTTAAAAATTGCAATCTTCCACAAGCTAACTCTGACAATGCTATCGTGTGCCATGAAGTCTTTCTATTCAAAACCACCCACATGTATATAATATGCACAGTAGAACCAAACCAAACCAAATCCCCAAATTTCACAAGATGTTGTTACCTTAACGATGACTGTGATCTAAGTGTTCTGACGGTGGAAACCTCTTCTTTATGGATTTCTACGTTCTCAAGGAGTGAAGCAGTTTCTAGAACAAAATCCTCCGCTTTGACTAATAAATCTATGGCTTCATTTTCTTTACCAGTATTTGAAGTGACATTTTGGCTTCCACCATTATTAACTGAAAGAATACGTGAATCTTCTCTGCAGCATAAGACACTTTGTGAATCTGTAGAAGATGAATCCTTTTTATCACTTCCTTCTGATCCAACTTCTCCTGAGCTCATTTTGTAGATGGTGCTACCACTTTCATCTTCACTTATTTTCTCTAAGTTTTTATCGGACAAAAAATCTAGAAAAGAAATTTCTTTCTGCAGATTTGTATCACTAGCTGATTTGAAAAGCAAAGGATCCTTCAAAGGAACCCGGCTGAGGTCAACACTCATAGATCTGTTGTCTGCCATGTGACTAAGAGTTACACTTCTAATTTGATTTATACCATTATGAACTTGTTTTCTTTTTGCAGACAAAATCTCTCCATTTTCTGTGGGCAAAAAATCAGGAACGACTGGGCTCATACTTTCAGAAACAGGGGACTTAAGAGCATTTGCTTGATTCACTGGATGTAGCAAAAGGGCCACTTCTGCACTTTTAAGTAAAATCCCAACACAGATTGATGTCTCACTGGCAGGACTGCCAGTCACTGCCTCTACATCCTTCTTCACATTCTCTGAAAGCAGAATAAGAGATTCATGGAGGAAAAGCAAGAGCAGGTACTGGTAGTGGTTGATCTGCATACTGACATGTTTATGCACATGAACCAGAACATGAACATCTGCGTCTGATGACGAAGAGGAAAATCTGAGAAATGAGTCTGATGAGGAGAGTTTCTGACCACCATTTCCCAAAGGCTCAGATTCTGTACTGTAATATTCCTTCAAGAGCTTTTTACGTTTCAGCCGACAAGCCAGATCACTGGATTCACTCTGGGATGTATTTAGAGATGCCTGACAAGTCTGGAGCTCTTTTTGTGACTCTGCATACCGTGTCGGTTGACAAATCCAGATGGAAAGAGGGAAAGAATCCACAAAACTTACTGGCCGCCCTTTTCCACTTTTTGTCCCTTCATAGTCTACCCAAAACTGTGAAAAGTATACAGCCCAAACATCTGCGGCAGCAGAAGTTCTTAGAGTATACTTGTTCAACTTGGGAATAATATTCCCTTTGTAAACATCGTGCATTTTGGTATCTTGCTCATGAGCGTGTCTCTGGAAGATTGGATGGAGAACATTAAAACTGCCACAAGATTTGGGGAAGCTGGTGTATGTTTTACTAAAAAAATCACACTCCTTGAAATCTTGAAACAAAGCTTCCAGATCTGAATGGCGACAGTTTGGGCAGTGCCTCGTGTTGGTGGCAATCATTTCCGAACTCTGAACAGAAATTGCATGTGGTTGATCTGGATGACCCTCAGATTTCATTTCAGAAGGGATGACAAACTAGAAGGAAAAAAAAAAACACCACACACTCAACTATAATCTAGTCCATTTTACACATCCAAACATATTAAAAACAAACAAGAACCTAACTTATCTCACAAGTTCTTTCCTTGGCATTTCCTCTCAAAATACTTATTAGACATGAAAAACACTTTACCCTCAAATCTTTTTAGTGAACTGAAAAAAGGGTACCTAAAAGACTATTGAAGTGAGCTCTGGTGGCCTATAGTGGTAGTAAGAAGCTATGCTGCAATCCCGAAGGAACATGGTTAAAATCTGTTAGCTTCTCCATGGGAGAAGGATGAGCAATATCTTGTGTGATTTGCTGCCACTGAAAATCTGCTGGAGGGTCAGCTGTGGGTCAGTTCTGACTCGACGGCACACAAAAACAACAAAGAACATCAAATGTATATCACATATATATTTCTTTTTATGCATAAGAAATGACAAAATAAAATGGAATTACTGTGTTGTGTTTTGTTTTGTGTGCCACTGAGTCAGAATCTACTCAAAGGTGACTCTCCAGCAGGTTTTCAGAGGCAGTAAATCTCATGGGAGGAGACTACTCATCTTTGTCCTGTTGAGCAGCTGGTGGATCTGAACTGCATACTCTTAAGACTGCAACATAGCTTCTTACCATCAGGCTACGCTACAAGAGCTCCCTCTAATTATATAATCGTATTTATTATTCCTATTCTCTGAGTTAACTCTAATTCTGTGGAGTTCATTTTATGAAATAAAAAGTAACTTTCTATCATTCTAGGATACAAATAACTGCATGAATGTGAAACCAAATAAAACCAAACTGTGATTAATTCCTCTTCTTTAAAGAAAAATTTCACTATCTCTGGAAGGTAGAAAAAAAATGATTTAAATGTTGCTTTAATTATTCAACTCCAAATGGATAAGCAGTGGGGGGGAGAACCAGACCAACAAATGGAAGTTAGATAGAGAGGAGGAAAAACAGAAGAACCATAAAAAAAGAATTCAAAAGGAAAATAATGCTGCTTCAAAAGCTTCTGTACTGAGAATAAAAATGAAAAATAAAACTTCAAGATAAAAAGATCATAACGAAATTGGGTTTTTTTAAACTTAACACTCATATTTAATCCTTGAAATGTTAATGGAATTATCAAATTATGTTCCAATAAAACAGTTTTGTTGTCACAGCAATTTGTTTACATGGTACCTTTAGCATTAGGCCATCAACTCGCACATCAACATGCTCATCAGACTTTGAATTGTCATTCAACTTGTACACAGTCATAAACTGGTTAAGGCTCTGTTTTAAATCCAACAGAAACTGATTTAACCATAGAATGCTTCTCTCATCAACAGTAAACTGTAACGCATTCAGCTGGCCATAGAGGTTAGGAGATGGAGCTGTGAAAAGAGGAAAAACAATTCATGAAAGGATAGTTACGTAGTTCTAAATTATCCCTGGTTTGCAAAACAATGAAAGAATCTTTTCTTTTACTTTTCCATAATTTTTGACTCATGTACTTATAACTTGTTAGTCAAATTTGTGTCTTCTAGGTTGCAACACCCCCATGATACATCTTCAAGGATATGAACATGTACGGCCAAGCACAATCAATAAGAGTGCATCTAAATTCCAAAATCAATCTCCATAATAGTCTATGTGTTTCCTACTGCCAAAGGGGCCCTTTAGAGTAGTGAGAGAAGATCTTCACCCTGAAACCCACAGCGTCCCTTTTCAGCAGGAAGTAGCTAAGAGAATACACCATCCCCTTTTCCTTATGACTCAGGGTGAAGTCTCTCTCAGGGAGGAGTGATAGGGAATGGCAAAGGACACACTGACAAAGAAGACTAATCAGAACTGGCTTTGACAAGCACTGTGGCATTTGGACAAGAACAAACTGGGAGGAGGGTAGAGAGAATAGTGCAACAATGAATGAATGGAAACCCAAAATCTCTGTAAATGTTTATGAAAATTAATAAAATATAATTATAGAAAGAAAAAAAAAGAAAGATGAGCAGTTTCCTTCAGTGCCATGTATAGGCTCTGAAAACCAGATGGAGGGTCAGTCATGAGTCACCTCGGACTTGATGGTAACATCAAGGTTAAGTGTCAGTTAATAAAATGAGAAAACTAAGTCTAATAATGAATGACCAATTACTAAGTAAACTGGTATGCTGGGCAGATCTTAAGAGGAGTAACTATGCTTGTTCACTCTGCGTTTTAATGCATATGTACCTTTATTCTACTATTAAAGTCATCGTAGGGTATTTTAGTAAAGATCTTTTCTTAAAAAAAATCAGACATACTTAGCTCTACATAAAACTAAAAATATTCCTATCTTAAACTTTGAGAATATATTAATTTAAGGAAAGCAAATTAAAAGTATGTGATACAGGAAGAGAAAAGGCACTGTAGCAATTTCCTGAAATTGATTCCCTCCCCTTCACTCAAATTCATTCATTAAATAATCTTTATCCTTTAGCCTTGCACTATTTATTTTTATAAATAAACTCAGGGTACGTAACCATAATATACATAATGTAGTGGTTCCCAGGAGAGTAAGAAGGAGAGGAGAGTACTCCTTCACTGCTTATGGAGTACTGAAGTTTGGTTTATGGTGATGGAAAAAATCTTACTGACTAAAGGGAGGGTCCCTCTCCAAACAACATGCCTGAAGTATATGAGAAGAAGTTATAATTTTGCCTCCAAAGAGCACTCTGGCTGCATTTTCTCCAAGACATATCTGTTTGTTCTTCCGGTAATATATGGAATATTAAGTACTCTTCACCAACACCGTAAGAAAAGGTCATCAAATTTTCTTCTGTCATCCTTATTCACTCACTGTCCAGCTCTCAGATGCATAAACAGTGATCAAAAAACTTTGGCTTAAATCAGGCACACCTTAGTTATCAAACTGACATCACTGCTCCTCAAGAATTTGGAGAGGTCCCTGACTGAAGACTTTCCCACTGCAATACTCTCCTGACTTCTTGTACCAAGTATACTGATTGTAGGTCCAAGTAAGATGATGTTATTGGCTGTTTCAATCTTTTCTACTTCTATCATGATATTGCCTATTGGACCAACAGGGAGAATTATTGTTTTCTTGACTTTAAGATACAATCCATATTGAAGGCTGTATTCTTTGATCTTCTGGAGCTAGTTAAATTAACGATATTTAAAATGAGCTTGTACAATCCTGCAATCTACGCATACTACCAAAGTTAAAGAACAGGATGTAAATCAAGGGTAAAAAAAAAATCTACAAATTAAAAACATGACTTAGACGCTATCTAAATTGTAGGCTTATGAGGGACAATTTCCTAGTTTATTTTATAATGAATATATGTATTTATAATTATTAAAAAGTTATTCACATATTTGAGTATCATTGTCGTTGTTGATTGCTGTCAAGTCAAACACGACTCATAGCGACCCTCTGAAGAAAAGGTGTGAAGCCTTTCTATAACTATTATCCTTTATCAAAGTTCATAAGAGATTCCGGAGGCATGTTGCTTAAGACATGGACAGAGATCACCAAACACAAAGACTAGTAGAATAAATCTAAATGCTGGTAAACCGATAAGCAGATCAATGAATAGTAATTTATTTACATACTTCATAGCCAATAAGTGAAATGAACTCTTGAATACATGCTATGGATGGAAGACCTTATGCTGAGTAGAATAAGTAAGTCACAAAGATATAAATGTAAATATGTATAAATATATAAATGATCTCATTTATACAAAGAGACAAGAACAGACAATTTATATAAAGACTCAAATTTATTGGCGGTTACCCCAGCAGTGATAAAAGGAAAAAAGTTACTGCTTATGCAGTACTGAGTTTCAGTTGATAGTGATGGAAAAAAACTCCCACATTGGTTAAGGGTAAAGTTGACTAGTCAATTATTTTAAGTGCTGTCAATACTTTGTTCTGGAATAATCTGAACTGACAAAAGTTAAGTGACATATTTAGAATAATGACCCCCCCCCCAAAAAAAAAAAAGTGAAGGGGTTTAGTTCTACTGTCTGGAAGTTTAAGGCTATGGGTCTATGAACTATCACTGTTAACTAGTTTAATAACATGTGTGGTGATTCTGCTCTGCCTCCTACTTCCTAAAGCAGTACCTTCGTCTTAAAAACTTGTAAGAGATTACTCACAGAGGTGAAAGAAAGGAACTGGAGAAAAGGGGCACAAGCAGAAGCAGCTATTGAAATAGCAAAGATCTAACAGCAGAAATGAGTGGGTTGCACTTCAGGAACACTGTAAAGGTTTAGGAGGTTGGAGAAGCACAGGGCACCAGGTAAGGCCCTTCATGAGAAGGCCTTTTAGAAGTCAGGATAAGGAGTTGATAAGATCCTGACTTTTTTTTCTTTCCCAAATTCTTCTGGGTAGAACGAATGTTAAGAGCAGAAGCAGAGAAAGCAGAAGCAGTCACTGAAGAAGTCTAAGCAAAAGATTACACTGGACTGAAGTATGGTGACTGCGGGGGACAAGAAATGCTTACATTTTTAATGTATTTTGAAGGTAGAATTTCTCATGGATTGGAGCCATCTTACTAAGGATGATGATAAAATTAACATTTTACACCCTGCACAGTGGAAATGATGTTCCTGGTAAAAATAAATACCTCCATAAATATTTTTAGATCTTAAACAAAATGTAAATCTGGGAAGAGGAAAATTTTACAGGATAAAAATAAAGTGAAAGCAGGAAACCTATAAAGTAAATAAGCTCTGAGGCCAAGTATCAACCTGAAGTTAACCTGTAAGCCTTGATGGCCTTGAGAACCAGTTTGAAAGGCAAGAAAGCAAACAAAGCCTTATTCAAGGTGAACTTTCCTCATCAAAAATTGAGACTAAAAATGTCTATATCCTAAGCATAAAAGTGAATGCATAAGAAACCTGATTCACAGAGATTAATTAATTAAAAATTGCCTAATTGATAAAAATAAAATGTCTTCTGAGAATTCATAATCAAAAGCAATCAATCAAAGTGTAACTCATACTATTTGTGTGATCTGACTTGAACTATTTAGAAGATAATAAAAATGAGAGGTTCAGAACATAAAGAGAAAACAAAATTCTTAGTTTGTGCAGCTGTCGCTCCCCAAAGCCAGTGTCCTCAAGCTCCAGCCAATGAAGTGGGGGTAGGTGAAGAGGTCTTTATATCACAATGCGAAGCAGACAGCCCACAAATCAACAGGTGGGAAAGCACGTAGGAAGCAGTTGGCAACAAAAACTGCTAGCAAGAGCATGCTCGCTACTGGACAGATGAAGAAACCACATCATTACAGGTACAGTAGTGGGCACTCTGTGAAATCAATTAGACATCATCAGAAGTCCACTGAACTTGTGATTCGAAAACTTGTCTTAACAGGGCAGCAAGTAATAAATGTTGGAGAGGATGTGGTGAGTAAAGAACTCTTATACATTGTTGGTGGGATTGTAAAATGGTAAAACCATTCTGGAAGGCAGTTTGGCGCTTTCTCAAAAAGCTGAACATAGAAATTCCGTATGACCCAGCTATTCCACGACTTGGAATATACCTGAGAAAATGAGAACTGAGGCACAAATGGAGACTTGGACACCAGTGTTCACAATAGCTTTACTCCTCATCGCAAGAACATGGAAACAGCCCAGATGTCCAACCAAATACAAATGGATTGAAAAGTATGGTACATTTACACAATGGAATATTACACAGCACACAGGATGAATGATTTTGTAAATTTTTATTTTGTAAATTATTACTTGACTTGGGAGGGACTGGATAGCATTATGCTGAGTGAACTAACTCAGTCCCATAAGGACAAATATTGTATAAAAGCATTATTGTAGACTGAGTATAAGGATCCATGGAGTGGGGGGGGGAGTGGAAGCAGAGGAATGAGGACGTTCAGGGGGAGGGAGGATAAATCATGGGGCTGTACAATTTGATAGGTGGGGATGTGAGGGAAATCAGAAGAATCTGTTCTGGAAAACAATGTATTCACATTTTGTAAATAAACTAATATAATAATAGTTTTTAAAAAGAAACTTGTCTTCTAGTGTCTGACAGGAGAAATTGCTCAGGACTTCAAAACAGATCTGTGCTCTCAGAGCACAGCTAACTGGTGCTTTGTAGAAGGCAAGTGAGGCTGAGCTCGTTGACATTTTTGAAAGCACAACCTGTGTGTCATCCATGCCAAACGTGTAGCAATTAGGCAAAAAGACACCCCACTAGCACACCACACGCATGGAGAACGTGCTTAGGAATCCACTATGATAGATAACATTTCAGTCTCTCAGATGTCAAAAAAACACATGAAGAAATGGTCAAAAACCCTACCTCTAAGAGAGACACAAATCAAAACTACTATAAGATATCTCACCCCAGTAACAATAGCAAAATTTAACAGAACAGCAAACAAATGCTGGCGAGGTTGTGGAGAAACTGGAACCCTTATTTATTGTTGGTGGGAGTATAAAATGGTGTAACCACTATGGAGGGCTGTATGGCGCTTTCTCAAAAAGTTGGAAATTGAAATATCATTTGACCCAGCAATTCCACTACTGGGAATATACCCTAAAGAAACCATAATTGCTACACAAACACATACATGCACACCTATGTTTATTTCAGCTTTGTTCATAATAGCAAAGAGTTGGAATCAACCCAAGTGCCCATCAATAAATGAATGGATAGAGAAGCTCTGGTATATTCACACAATGGAATAATATGTGGCATTGAAAAATAAGGAACTCATAAAATATTATACAAAATGGGTGACCCTGGAGGATATTATGCTTAGTGAAGCATCTCAGTCACAAAAGGACAACTACTACATAAAAGAGGACTGACACAGTGTTGGGAGGAGACTGAGAAAGAGGGGGTAAATGATGTAAACTGCACTCAAACAGATGAGGGAGAGAACTATTTAAAAGGGATATATGATTAGATATTGTTGTTATGACAGGAGTCCAGAAAAAGATAGCATAGTGGAGTGAAGTTGGGGGGAAAGTTTGAATAACAATGAAAGAATTTTTCCTTTTATTTTTCAAAGAGAAATCACTGATAATTTCAATGTTTTCTCCAACTATCATAATCTTAATTATTGGTTCAGTAGTGAGGACTTTTATTTTCTTGCTATTGAAACATAATCCATATTGAAGGATGCAGTCCTTGATCCTCTGCAACAAGTGCTTCAGAAGGACTAAGTGTAAAGAATTCCAAAAGGAACTGAGACAATGGCATGAACTTTTAGTGTTTAAAGATACAAATGTATAACTATTTTAATTTTAGGAAGTCAAGAAAAATGTGAATAAAAATTCACATTCAGTATTTTTAATACCAGTGCCCAAATCTGTCAAAAGTATACATTTGGGCATTTGTAAAGCATCTTAAAAATTTTTTATAGCTAACTAACAATTTCACTTCTTTGGTTTTTTTTTTTAATTATACTCGTTTATTCACAAAATTTGAATACATTGTTTTCCAGAACAGATTCTTCCAATTTCCCCTACCCCTGCACCCATCAAATTATACAACTCCATGATTACTCCTCTTCTTCCCCCCTCCTCCCTTTGGGTCCCCATACTCATTCAACAATAATGGTTTCATACAATATTTGTCTTTGTGGGACTAAGTTAGTTCATTCAGCATAATGCTCTCCAGTCCTTCCCAAGTTAGGTCATAATTTACAAAATCATTGCTCGATTATTTATTTTTAAAGGAAATATAAATTGAGGTTTTTATACTAAAGGGAAAAAAACCTCAGCATCACAAATTAACTTTATTCTTTCATTTAACAAATGCGACTAAACACAAAAATTAGCTAAATCCCAGAGATAAAAGGAATCATGAAAATAGACATATTGTTTTCATCAAGATGTCATAATCAAGTGAAGGAAAAGGATATAAAACAAGTAACAAAAATTTGTAAAAACGCCACTGGAGTTAAGCACTACATACCTAAGACAACGCGTGATAACGCTTACATTTTTTATACTTATAAAAACATAAATTTAGAAAGAAAATAAAAATATTTTAGTAAAGTATGCAAAAAATTAACAAAATAAGAAATTCACTTACTTGGAAAGTCCTTTCCATCTGGATAGTAATATTCTGTGAATTCTATATAGATAGCAGGCATTTCTTGTGGAAGATACAGGGATTTTTTATTGCAGCAAATCATACTTTTAGGGGAAGAACGACACTGGTCTGCTGTTGAGACCTGAAAGAAGAAAAAAAAAGAAAACTACATTTATTGAAGCTACACTGGCTAAAATCCTTTTCTAAATAATTTATTTCACGGGAACAACAACTGAAAATCTTATAAAACTATAATAATGGCTATTTTCCAACATAAACTTTATTACATGGTTTACTTCACCACAAATTGATTAAGAAAATGCTATCATTTCTCTCCATCCTTAAATATAATTCTGAACAATAATCTTTGCAAATATGTTATTTTGAGTCAAAATTACAAGAGTAAAAATAATTTTACTTAAATTTTCCTATGTCTGTAAACACTCAAAAAATATTTTAATAATGATATGCAATCATGTAAACAGAGAAGTACAACTTCTATATTGTAAGCATATAATGCTAAATATGTACAACCATTTTTCAGATGAAGAACAGGCTCAGTCAGGTTAAGTTGGTGAATATGCATAAGTCCTCTAAGATCGTATGCTTTTTCAATATATTGTTGTTAGGTGCTGTCGAGTCGAGTATAACTCATAGAGACCCTATGAACAACAGATCTAAACCCTGTCCTATCCTGTGCCATCTTAATATTTCCTGACACACTGGAGACTACTGTGGCAGTCATTGTGTTAATCCACCTGGTCTAGGGTCTTTCTCCTTCACCAACCCTCTACTCTTCCAAGCATCATATCCCTCTCCAAGGAAGAACCCCCTCCTAGCAATATGTCCAAAGTATGTGAGGCAAAGCTTCATCTTCTTTGCCTCCAAAGAACACTCTAGCTGCACCCAATCTACTTTGTATTTGTTTGTTCTTGTGGCAGTCCACAGAGTGCTTAGTGCTTCTCCAACACCACAGCTCAAAGGCAATTCTTCTTCTGTCAATTCTTATTCTTAAGCAGCTCTCAGATGCACGGCAAGTTACTGAAAAGACCATGGCCTGAATCAGAAGCACCTTCGTCCTCAAACTGACATCATGACTCCTCAAAAATTTGGAGAGGTCCCTAACTGCAGACTTTCCCAATGAAACACGTCTCCTGACCTCCTGACTGGTGTTACCAAGAGTGTTAACTATGTATGAATCCAAGTAAGATGAAGTTATTGGCAGTTTCAATCTCTTATTGATCATGATGATGCTCATCTGGTAAGTGGGAAGAATGTTTTCTTGACACTGAGATGCAATCCATATTGAAGGCTATATTCCTTGATCCTCTGCAGCAAGTGCTTTAAGTCCTTCTCACTTTTAGCAAGCAAGGCTGTGTCATCTGCATAATGCAGGTTATTAATGAATCTCACTCTGATCCTGATGTCACATTCCTCTTAATGGACTCCAACTTCTCGAATATTTTGCTCAGTTTAAGTTATACAAGTGTTCAGGTCTTTGGTTCATAGGACCGCTATGAGTCATGTACAATTCAACAGCACTTTACAACAACAACAATATACAGACTGAATAGGGATGGAAAGAGAATAGAACCCTGACACACTCTTCTTAATTTTAAATTCCAATATAGTCTTTATAATTTCTCTATTATTATAAAATATAATTTATCTGTATACAATTCTTTTTTGCACCTAAGTTTTTTAAAAATGACTACTTATGTTAAGATTTGTGTTACCCTGCTGTGGTAGTTAAGACAGCATGGTACTGTTACAATGACAGACACACAGATCAATGGAATAGAATTGAGAATGCAGAGATAAGCCCATCTAAGTATGGTCAACTGATTTTTGTCAAGGAGATGAAATCAGTTACGAGGGGAAATGACAGCCTTTTTAACAAATGGTGTTGGCAAAACTGGAAATCTGCAAAAGACTCAAGCAAGATCTACACCTCACTCCATATACAAAAACCAACTCAAGGTGGATCATGGACCTAGTACTAAAACCAAGGACTATAAACTTCATTAAAGAAAAGCTTAGAAGAACTCTTGTAGTCCTAATCCGCAGCATAAACACTCCTCCAAGTATCCTGGAAAATCTACAACCAGGAGAAGATAAAATAGATGAACTGGACCTTCTAAGAATCAAATCCCTATGCACATCCAAAAACTTCTCCAACAGGGTAAAAAGGGAAGCCACAGACTGGGAAA